ATCAGCATAAAGTCAATGTTTCTCTCATATTGTAGAGCTGATCAGAGCACTTTGTTTTGACTATTTATTCTACCGCTAATCTTGGATCCTCTGGTATTTTTTTCTCCAAGGGTTGTACTAAGAATAAGTTATCCCTCAGCCCCTACACACACTTCATTATATGAAGTATATATTCTGTAGGCCCTGAGTTGGGAGATAAAATGTGTGAAAAGAGAGCAGTAGGATTTGGAGCAGCATGCAGAGGGGAGCAGCCAAAATAGAGAGAGAATATCAGCAGCGCTGCCTGCCAGCCTCACTGAGCTGCTAAGCAGGGCTTAACGATGCCCACGGGGATGTGTGTGTGTGTGTATGTGCATGTCGGTGTAAGTGTGTATGTGTTTTTTGCGCGCTTTCCTTCTTTTTAAGCCCAAAACAAGTGCTTCATGTTTCGGGGTCAAACGGAGGCCATAGACTTATTAATGTAGAAGTTTTTTTTGAGAGTTGATAACTTGTCAGGAATAAGTTAACCATCAGATTGTATACAGAGTATTTGAACAACAACACGCTGATTAAAGAACACTTATATGGTTCTTATTTACCTCTACCTGCATAGGATCCACTTGAGGTAGTATCAGGTGATGAAACAGATGTGTCTTCTAAAAACGAAATGATGAACAAATGATTTCCTTCTGACTTCTTATCTGTGATGCTTATTACATTTTTTTCATGCTGTTAATTTGACTAATGCTGAAACCGTTTGTAACAGCATGATTTTTATAACACTCCAGGAGCAGAGCCCTGGCACTAGGACATCTAAAAGATGTTCAGTTCTGATTCATGTCAATACAGTTATTAGAAAGATCCTTTCCCTGCTATGACATGGCAAATTTCCTGCTATTAAAAATATAATCATCCTTTATGGAATACCCAAAGTCAGTTTTGTCTTTTTTTGCTTTGCAAACGTGAATAATTCAACTCAAAGGGAAAAAGCAGTTTTGCATTTAACTGCTTACATATAAAATAAAATGATGTATATGTTCTACTTAAATGTAAACTTTCCAGGAACACTAAGAGCTGATAAAAATGAAAAGATGTAATCTTGACCATGAAGAAGTATTGGGAGGGACGGCCCACCAAATGAACTGCACTTAATCATTTTAAATACCTCATGTTGAAGGGTTTGAGAGTTTTGGTGGAAAGAGAATCTAAACATCAGAGTTAGTGTAATAAAGCAGACGTTTCTTTGGAGATCAAGTGTGTTGCAATGTCTCAACATATTGCCACGACATTCTGGAAAATCCCAGAGTTCTTTACAACACAGGCCAGCTGGTCAAGCACGAAAGCTGATTATTTTGGGGAATGGGGGTGTAGTTTGGTGTGTGTCTGTCAGGGAATGGGTGAGCGGGGAGGGGGGGGGGGAGTGTCCATAATGCCCATTTTTGCCAAGGGGATGTATTGTCTGGACACTGTATAAAAAATATCTGATCACCATCAAACATTAACAATTCATAGATCGTTAGCTTTAAACTTGAGATAAAGTTTGTTTTTGTCGGGAAAAAAAACCTGTGCACGCTTTTATTTTGTAAACTCATGAATATGCTTCATGCATTGTAGAATAAGGCATTTTTTCATTATAACAGTAAAGCTGTATTACACTCGTTTAACAATTTGTGTGTGTGTGTGTGTGTGACTTACTGGGAGGCAGAGTGTGTGTGTGTGTGTGTGTGTGTGTGTGTGTGTGTGTGTGTGTGTGTGTGTGTGTGTCTGTGTTCTAGTGACCTAGTCTGACCTTCCTCTCCCATTCTCCCCCCTGCTGTCACCAGTGGGCACACACAAAATGACAGCTGAATGTTCAGCCTCAAGGTATACCATCACATCTGATTGCACCAAACCACTGGGTTTGAAAAATGATTAAATATGGTGCTCTCTGCGTTAGTACAAAATATATCCTGTGGAAATGTTTACAACCTGAGAAAAGAAGATAAACGGTTCAAAGTATACCTTCAAAGGGCATTCCTATTTTCACATTTAATATCAATTAATTGTAATATGATGGAGATCTGGGGAATATTTGGAGCACAATAATTTCCTCTAAATTCTAAACCAGCCTTACTCTTTTTCTAAAAACCAAACTGTCAATAGTCATGTTCTTTTTTTTCCAATTAATTAAAATGGATACTGATTATCACATGTGGAGACAAAATCTGAGAAGCATTACAGGAAGTTGCGTTTCCTCAGCTCTTAAGAACTTCATATCCTCTTTTGGTATTCCGACCCACAACGTTTCTAATTTGGCTCCCATTTGCTTCACCTCAGCTGGCTGCAACAGACACGCAACAATGTTAAACATTCAGATACCAAATGCATGCTATGATTTCTACTTATCTGCTGGATATGTATTTATGCAACTGTCCTCCTTAAGGTGATAAAATGTCACTGTTCACAGCCAAAAACATTTAAAGGTTTAACCAAGGAGTTCATATTTTGATAGGACTTTTTTTTTTTTTCTTCTGATGTGCCACTTTCCCACATCCAGCACTATCTTCTACTTAGAGAGTTACTTTAATCCTAATTCTTACACTGTCAAATCCAATTGAAGAAGATTTTAGAAAAGTCTAAAACCAACATCACAACATTCACTCATTACCAAAACCAACAAAGAAAAAAAAAAGCATACATGCCCCAAAAAAACAAAATAAAAACATAGATCATCAGAGTGTAAGCAGGCGGTTTAAGGCTTCTTTCTCTTTTTTTTTCGCACCATCCTTCAAAGACATTTTATAGAATTAATCCGACGACACCTCCAGGAGACAACAACAGTTTCTGGCATTCCAGAACCACCTCCACACCCGCTGTCACTGCTGATCAGACCCCTACATGTCTACAATACACAACCACAACTCTGGCACAACACCCAAAGTCCTGGCTGTGCTTGGAAAACAATGTTTAACATACTGTAAAAGAAGGGCAACGTTTTAAATCAACGGGGAAAAAAATATTGCAATGAGGATGGTAGATGTTTTGTGCACTTGTCTGGGTAGAAAGGAAGATCACAGTGAGGTCACCGAGGATATCAAGGTGTGCGTCTTCCTTTGCTGTGTGAAGGCTGTGTGTATGAATTCCTTTGCATATGCATGTTTCTGTGTGCACACACAAGGTGAGTGGGAGGTGTCAGCAGGGCAATCCACAGGAATATCACAAAGAATACCTCAGTGATCAAAGAATATAATTGCCTCAAGGAGAGTGAAAAGGAGGCAGAAATATAGAAACCGATAAACTGTGAGGATGAGAGACAGACAAATAGAGATGGCGATGGAAAAGGGAAAGAAAAGAGAGTTGGAATAGAAATAGGCCTGGAGTAGAAGAAAGAGAAAGTATAGTTGACAACACAAATGTAACCAGAAAGCAGACAAAGAACATGTTGCCATTTACAGACAGAGTGTGAAGATTGGAGAGAGGGTGTATGTGTGTGTGCTGAGGGTGGAAGATTTTACAATTCATATTACACTTCAGAGAGACATGCACCTATTGTTTTCAGATAAACATCACGAGGAGCCTTACTTGAGCTCTGGTACATGTAAGTAAATTTCTGTGTTTCACACTCAAATCATTAAACCAAACTTTTGCTTTGAAAAATGTTGAAAAGATATATATTTTTTAATTACTATCGCTTTGTCTCAAGTTTAGAGTTCCACTGCTCTCAGAGACTTTTAACCATGGGGAAGACTGAAATATCGTGTGTAAGCAAGTATTTCTGGGGCACTTGTTTAAAAACCAGGATGAGGTGGTTCACCTTTACAACAACAACAACAAATTAATTATTGGTACATCGTGCACAATGTATTCTTCCCATGTGATGTAACATTCTCTGCACTATTTGATTACCTTTTTATTTTCATTCATTAATCATGTGTAAAGACACTAAGCATAACATCACACGTTTTCTACAAAACAAGATTTAAAAAAAAAGAGAAAGTTTGTCATATATTTGAAACGTCAATGGTTATCATAAAAAGAAGAAAGGAAAAATGCCGCAACAAGGCAAGATGCTCCAGTTGTCATGTTGCCTAAGGACGTCCAATAAATCCCACAATGTATGGACAGCTTTAGGCAACTGCAGTGAGTGGGAAAGGGAGATCTTGCTCACCACAATATGACAATGAATGACTTATGCTTGATTGTGTCATTGGGTTCCACTTCAGTTGTGTTTCATGTCTCTTTCTTAGTGCTGGTGTGCAGCTTTATGACCACGACACAGCACACATGATCATTAACATTGAGCCTTATCTATCTTATGGTCCTCTCTCTATAAACTTTTTATAGCCCCTAACTTAAAGTATCATTGCTCACTGGAGGAGGATAGCTTTGTCGTTTGCAGTGTCATGAGGAAAATGGTGAAACTTTTTTCATGCTACTGAGTAAACTTTCCATGCTCGAGTTACTAACTCCAATGTTAACGCAGTTTGGACACTGCATTGGTTTGTAATCTGGTTTCTTGATAACACAATCTTTAATCTCTAACATGAATTGGGCTGTGCGGTAGGAGGTCAGCAGTTGAACATGTCTTTTAACAGTGCTGGCGTAATGTAAAAAGGACTTCATAATAAGAGAGTGCTGTGAAGAAATGCTGCTCAAGAAAAAGTAAGAGGCACTACAAAGTGATACAATGACATTAGGAAATGGTACCGGGTGCAGTAATTATTTGTCATGTGAAGAAACGAGTCCCGCAGCACTCACTGGGGTTTACCTGTTGGAGGATCTTCAGTGATTGGAGAGACTTGTGCTTCACTCCGCCCCTCAGCGCGCTGTCCGCCTCTCCAAATTCAGAGCGCACACAGATCCTCAATATCTTCATCTACCCCGCCGCCTAGTATGAGCTCCCTTCTCTTAAAGCGGAGGCGTGACGAAACAAATGGTTTCTTTACGGTATCCCGCTTTATGCTGACTGAAGTTGCTGTCGTTTAGGACAAATCTCTCCCCCCCCCAACCCCCTGTTACCGGTTGTGTTTTCTGGACGCGCCATGCAATCTCGCTGGTGGAGTTTTGGGATTCGTCTGGTGGCGTGGACGTGGATTTGGAGTCTGGCATTGCCTGGAGCGTGGTGCATTCCCGCAAATGAAGGTAAAACACGCATAGACAAGCCTGTGGGTCAATGACAGCGTTGCTTGGTTCACGATTATGGTTTTTTTTTTTTTTTTGGGCACTGACAAGTCTGACCGGTTAAAGGTCTGTCTTTTGCCTCTGGTGCCCCCAGACCGTGGCTCTCCTTTAGACATGCCACACGGCTCCGACAACCTTTGACTGAAAAAAATAGGTCGCCTGTAAAATAGATTTGAGGATAATATACACATGATAGCTGTCTTCACCGACGCTTTATTAGTGTGAGTCTGAAAGCTGAACTAAAAAAAAAAAGGACCTTTGGACGGAACGCGAGTGTCTCCAGATATGTGGTCCTTTGAGGACTTAACAGCGCAGACAGACGCACAGCTCGCTGCTAAAAACACTGTAGGTTAGTCTGAAACGTTTTCTGTGCAGCGTGGGGGGGCTCAAGTATTGAGTTGACATTCACCTCAAAGCATTTAATGGAATTTTAAAAATATGGGGATAAAAGTGAGCCATTGAGATGTTTTCTTCCCATGGATGGTTCCATACATTCACATATAGACAATAGAAACGTTGCTGTGATATTTCTATTCATCCCTCTTTAGTATGATTACAGATGTAGTCTGACATTCTGTCTCTAAATGATCATTTTAACATTAACCGGTGAAGCCAGTTAAAGTGCCTGTTAACAATGCGTTAGGCTATATGGTAGAGTGATGTAACTTGGATCAATAAGAGTTTTATTTGGCAAACCTTTTGGGGTTGCACATTGTTAACTAGCCTCATCATTGTTAGTCTCAACTGAACTGGTGCAATTATTGTTCCCACGGTATTGTCCGCAGACGGAGCAACATTTTAATAGCATGGGATGAATGCCATTGTTTGAGGCTATTAGAAAGCATTATCCGAGGGAGGCAGCGCATTCATCACCTGCTTAGTCTTCACATGACAGATTTATTCGTACAACGTCAAGAGTCACAACAGTGACTCTGAAAGTGTGACCACGGGACATTGAGGGGTCCTGAGTGGTTTGCATTGTTTTGCATTGTGTTTTTTTTAAGCCAAGTTACCTTTTATATTTGGTCCCCCCCCCCCCCCCCAATGAATTTAACGATCTAAGAGTTTGTGTAAGATGGAATAAAATAAAACTTACTCTGCAGCAAACATGGTTCGCAGAAGAGTGAAACATTTTCACAAAGCAGCTTGAAATGATATTTAACAGTCCGATTCAATTGAAACAAGTTAATATATGTATACATTTACATTTTGTTTCTCACAGTCTTGTTAAAAGCAAAATGAAGGCTTAAAGAATTATACCTCAATGGCAGTCTGCATCATGAGTTTGTGCGCTGGATTGTACAGTGAATGACAAGAGGCTTTATAAAAAGAAAACACAAGGTAAATGTATTGCTCACATCAGGTTCATATTTGTAAGAGAGTTGTTTCTTTTGCTGTCCTGAAAAAACACAATCTTTTGTTTTGCATTGGCACAGCACATGCAAATCTGTTTGTTCTTACAAAAGTGTCAATGTGACAGGAAATCCAAAAACTTTATTCAACAGCACATCATATCTGTTAAACAACTTGAGAAGCTTTGCCAGGGACTGCCACTCAACATATTTTTGATTATTTGGCACATTTGCGTTGCAGGGATAATCATGCATTGCATGCTTAATTTGAAAGGATGGTGAACCAGTTAAAATAACAATTCTCTCATTCACAGTAATTTAAAAAAGTCATATTAGACAAAATGTCAACTTCTTCCGATGTCTTGGAGTTATTTGGGACTTTCGGCTCTTTCAGATTTGTGTCTCAATTTAAGAGTAACAATATGCTGATATCCTGCAGTGGATTTACCTCATACTCATTCTTTCAAGTTAAAGTTTGCCTTGCATTCATCTTTTGCAAGTTTGTGAGCTGAACTGAGAAAAGTTCTGATGCACCCTTGTTACATCTCTCTGATAGAGAGGAAATGAATCCTGAAGTGGAACTAATGAATGATAACAAAGAAAACTGTATCATTTTGCTACCTTGATCATTATCCTTTCTTGAAGCTAACACATTTTTATTTAGATCTAATCCTGAGAGCATCTTGATCAAGGCCAGACACAGACTCATCCGTTTAAGACGTTGTTATCGTGTACGATTGAAAATGTCCGACTAAATAAGAGTATGTAGATCGTGGGAGCCTACATTTTAGACTTTGCTTTTATGTTTGTAATTTGTTGATCTAACAAATGAGTAAATTATAGCAAATGGCTCAGACGTGCATGGTTACTGGCCTTCCTGTGTCTTGCAGGCCACTCAGCCTTGAGCTACCCAAACTAACATGTAAATGCAACAATACATCACATGGCAGGGACACGTTAAAGTAGAGTTAGAGGCAAATGTGTTTGTGTGTAAATTACAAGTTTTCAGAATTAGGATGAAAGACATGGTTTCAAAAAGGGATCAGGGCTCATCAGGGTGATATTGGCACCCATAACCTGCTAGGGTGCTATAATGTGCAGTGAAAAAACAAATACTCAGTTAGCCTTGTGGCTGCCAGATCTAACATTCAGTCATCAATTAAATTATTTTTTCACATTTACCATCCTGAAAATACACCTACTCTTTAACTTGTTTTACAAAACTTACAAACAAAATCACCTCTTTCATGCTCTGGGGATCACTTAAAGAAAACTTTCTGATCATAGGGACTGCTGAGTGCGTTCCTGTTCGGAGGTTTCATCCTTAGAGAGAAAGTGGTAACATACCCCTTATGATCTAGTTCAGCATCACTTATCTCTTCTTTATGGCCTAATTAGTTGTCTTATCGCCTCCTAAGGACATCTTTTATTATTCTCAGCAGAGCAGTGGAGAGGTTAAGACTAGTTGTATGTGTGTGTGTGTGTGTGTGAGAGTGTGTGTGTGTGTGTGTGTATGGTGTGTGTGTATGGTGTGTGTGTATGGTGTGTGCATAGTGAGGAAAATTGCAGAGCAAGTGTGTCTCTGTGACTGAACTCACCTCTCTTGTTCTGCTTTTCTGAGGATGTCAGTTCTTTTGTTGACATTTGGGAAGGCTTGATAAGAGGAACGGCTGTTTTATAACATACAGAACTGGACGTGTGTTTGGATATATTGAAGTGAACAGCTGGCTAAGGACAGGGAGAGGACATAAAACTTGTCAATGACTGATTGAATCTTGGAGTATTCGAGTTTGAACTTCATTGTGTTGAGAGTTAAGAAAATGTTTTTGAGGAAACATCTTTTGCTGCTTCTGCATGAAACAGTGGCAAAAAGGTTTTGTCATTTTTATAGTGTCAGTGCCCAGATACTTAGGCAAAATACAGAGCAGAGCTTGCTGATGTGCGATGCTTTACTAGCGATAAGGAGGAAAGTGCAAAACATTTTAAAGCCCAGTTTTTACTCCTCCGCATGAATGTCTCACATCACCAGTCCCTGTAACAAGAACAAACATGGTAAATCCCCAACGTTATATCCAGTAAATAGGTTCAAATCAAGACCAGTAGGCTCAGACCAGACAAAGATAAAACTAGTAATTGGCATGTATTTGAATAACGATTTTATGAGAAAATAACTATCACACATAAGAAAAACTTTCATTGTGTCTTTTTGTGAGTATGTTTACAGTTTCATCCAAGTATTTGTCGGTTTAGTGCAACAAGTTTGAAAGATGTTAATATAATCATCATTTTTATTAGTGAAAAGAATAGATGAACACAGCCTATCAATCTTATTTTTAGAATGTAGCGTAAAAAAGTGAATTTACAAGTGAACACCTCATGAGGCTGGGTGATGAAACACACAGGAGAGAGTTGTATAAAGAGATTTTAAAACATGTACTGATACAATTTAACTTTAATATGTGGCTTTTACTAATTTCTAAAACTTAATCTGCTCCCATTTACTGAAGTCCTAAACCTTGAAAGTGTCATTAAATGATTCTTTCTACTTCATTTCTCGAGTATACACTTTGTAGGACACAAAACAAGCCACATGTTATGAATGATAAGACAAAGAACTATTGGAACTATGGCTTGACAAAAATTGAATTGTATTCATGGAGTGCATGTTATGTCAGGCCAAACTCAGAAGAGTTTTGAAGCTTTTGGAAGACGGCATGTAATAACAAAAAAACGTATTCTCATTGATGTGATGTACTCGAGACTGTAGAAATGCTGTTGAGGATTCTTCACAAAATGTTTGTGTTGAAGAAAACTGAAATGAATTTACAACTACAAGTTTAGATTATAAACAGACCTCAAGCTGAATTGGGTTCAGCAGAGCTCTATGTTGATAAACCATTTGTGACTAAGCATCATGTGTGCTGCTTTAATTTTCCTTCCAAATAAATCAAAAAGCTTCACCCTTGGATGCACTTTTGACAAGAATCTGTTTAAGTATTTGGGAATCAAGAGACTGTCTCTAGTGTTGTACATGAAAAGGTGAAAACATGCTTTGAGGAGTGCGATGGTCAGGTAATTGCTCTCGACAGCTTTCATCTGAGAGTCTGAGAAAGGAGAATTTTAATAGCTCAATATGAGCTATTAAAATTCTCCTGAGAGGAGTGTTGGAGAGTTAAAACAAGCTACAGTTTTTGGTCAACAAGATGCACAAATGTGCTGTTCTACAAAAGTATTAGAAGAAGGGTAACAGAATGAGAAATAATCAGTTATGTCCTGTTTTGTTTCAGTGTCTTGATTGGTTGTTTGTCTATGCTAAGGACTGCCCCTTGTTTTCATCCTTTAACAGTGAACCTGCTGGATTCTCGCTCTGTGATGGGAGACCTTGGATGGGTGGCCTATCCTAAGAATGGGGTGAGTTACGATCAATCCTTAAATGTTGAATTGGAAGATAACTTAATCTTTAGATTGTCAGTGATGACAGTGACATTGTTTCTTGATTGGTTGTCTTTTTGGAGATATATGGTTGAGGAAGGCTATTTAAATATGTAGATTTAGTTTTTTGAATGCACTTGATAAGAAAAGATGAGGAATAATTCATTCTTGTGTTAACCTAAGTGTATTAAAACAAATGATGAACTACATCTAAAAGAAACTTGTGTCCATCTAAAAGTGACCTTGATAGCACAGTGAAGAAGTCGGGGTGGTGACTTCTGTGTATGACAAAGAACACCAATAACTTGATGAATTTTGCGCTTAAGACTCATCATTTTTTAACCCAGGATAAAGGTCATTTTATTTCCAGGAATTCTCAGTTCATTATCAGAATAAATTAAATTCATGAATAAGATACTGAAAGTCACCATGGAATACATTATCCTCAAGCCAGCAATCCAGTTTCCTCTTCCAAGCATTCCCAAGGGGAGGACCGATTAGAAGAGGATTTCCTGGAATTGAAAAGTAGTTTTCAGTAGTGTTGAACAGTATATTGTAATTGATTATTAAAAAAAAAAAGAAGTTGTGTATTCTGAAGTTTTAGCATTACATTAACTCATAGCTGAATCTTTCCTAGGGAATACAAATAAATCCCATCCTCCAGGGGATTGATGGTGCTGTAGTTTGATTAAAAAGGAATTCATTTGTGTGTCTATTTGATCCACATGTAAAATCTCTACTATCATCATCACTCCTGTTGGCAAATATGCTGCTATACACGACGGACCAAATAGTGCTGACCGTAAAGTATTTCTCTGCGCTGGGTATTCAAATCACGACACATTCTGTGGCGGTATGTAGATGGGAGAGATAGTGCTGACAAAAGCAGCCGTATGCACAATCATATTAATGAAGATGTGATTATGGTGTGTGGTTTCTACAATGCAACTGCATAAATAACTGAATTTGTGGTAGAGGGTGGGAGAAAAAAAACTAAAGATTTGATAGGCATAGGATTAATGTGACTAGATTGTCCTTTTTTCCCCCTAATGAACGAATTGTCTGGTGGAATGACGAACATGTTTCACTAAACAATGTTCTCCGTGTTTGGCATTTTAACTGACAGGCGTTTTTGTTGTTGCCTATTCTAATTATTCTCCAATTCAATATTTATACGACAGAGCCCTATCTGAAGGGGTACTCTTGCATATTTTCCACACAAACAATCACACACACATAGTAACAGCAGTATTTGTTGGCTAAATAAGATGTTTAGGCAACAGTAGAGTTTCCTTTTTTTTATGTTCCAGATGGTTCGTTACATCCCTCGTATCCCTCCTCCACCCACCTTCACCCCCTTCATTACTTCCCCTCTCATTCTTCTTTTTTTCTGGCTTAGTTCTAATCAGTTAAACAGTGCCCCCCCCCCCCCCATCCTTTCTTTACCCAGCATTTACTTATCTCCCCCTCTCCTTGTCCTCTTATTTTCTGTCATCTTTTTGTCTCACCTCACCATCTTCTGTGCACTGCTTTCCTCTCCCAATGTGTGCTTTGAATGTTCTTCATACATACATTCAAGCAACACAGGAAAATTGATTTAAATAAAGAATTTGAGAATGATTAAGAATTGTATAGATGACCTTGAAATGATGTCCTGGAAACTACAGTACACATATCAATGAACAGTATGACACTGACGTATTGGCTTGAAATGAAGACAAGGAAAGGGAAATGCTTTTAAACAGCTTGACTAGTATTTGCTTAGTGTCACAGGTTGGAGATTAAACAAAAAGGTAGAGGCCCCAATTGCAGACTAATAGGAATTTCACACTCGCAGAAAACTCCTGAAAATGAAAAAAGTGAGAACGCAGCAGGATATTCTCCGGAGAATTCACCTCCAGCCAATGGGAGGGGGCGTGACATTTATATACCGTGACTGCTGCACAGTGTAAGGAGTGTATGCGTGCGACCGCTACGATCTCCGTGCATAATTAAACGGCTGCATTATGTTTTCTGTTAACCAGTATGTTGTTCTCCGCTCTTTTGTTGACATTCAGGAAAATACACAAGAACACATGAACACATACACATGAACACAGGAAGGATTGATGACAAACTGACACAAGATAGAAGGTACAAGGACACAAGTAAACAATGGGAAATCGAAGTGGAGGGAAACTATAGGCAGAAATGTGTGTATTGTTAATTGAATTGCTGAACTTGAATTATTTAATAAAATGTTAGAATTTAAATCACATAGTTTGACTTGCCCTCAATTCACACATTCCGCGCATTACCTTGTAATTAGCTGCCACTCTAGTCAATCATTGTGTTCACAACTACGCTGCGGCCCGTCTCCGGTGCGTGCCACCAACGGCACTGCGCTCTGCTCCGTTTCAAATACGCAGCGAGTCTATTTTCGCTGGAGTACGCTGCAGTCTCGCATCAAGCTGGACAGAATATGACAACCCGGACAGGAAGTCAGACAAGGAAACGCACAGAGCATCCGGTCAATTTCAAAATAAAACACAATATACGGACTTGCGATCGTATTTTTCGTCACTTTATCAACATTACGTCAAAACAGGAACTGAATTAACAACAATGCATCCTCAGAAAGACAAAGCAACATGTTGTTTGCATGTTTTTCTCTTTATTCCCGCGGGATCTTGTAGTTCTCCTGTGACATGTCATGGGTGCGCTGACGTCCCAGAAACGGATCCAGTGTGAATGGGCGCGAAACCGCGGCATGCAAGGAGTATGTGTGAATTAGGGGTTAGTGTGAAAACTGATTCTAAAATAGCAGAATTTGAAATGGAATTATTTTGTTTAAAACTGAATTAAAATATACTTGAAACTATACATTACATTGAAGAGCAAAAAATACGAAACACTTATGAGCAGGAAGTAAAACTAAACCAGAAACACAAGAGGAACAAACTACAAAATAAAACAGGAAACACTCAAGACTAGTCTTTGGAATATAAAATACACAAAGGGAATTATATGTGAAACATGAGGGAAGGAAAAGACGAAGTAAAAAGGAAAATATATCTGAATAATTCAATTAACAAAGAACAACTCATATTTAGATGTTTGTGGTGCTGCAGCTCATGCTATTCAGCAGATACATTTTTCTCCCGATACAACAGAACTGTACAATGTAGGTGATTAAATTGACAGAAAGAAGAGATTATGGTGAGAATAAGAAAGGTGCAACAGTAGAGAAAATAGGGTAGGGAAGCAAGATATTGGGGACAAGAAGATGACAGTAAGTCAAGCTTTGAGTGAAGACAGATATAGGGGGGGATGTGGTTGAACGGTGTTTCTGGGTTAGACATAAAATTGGATAACTAAAGAAAGAATAGAGGACATACATGATCGGAAATGTATTATAGACATGGCAGTAAAATTAGGCACAAGAAGGGGGATGTTAGAGATTGAGATGGATGAAGAAAAGATGGGAAAATGACTTAGAAGGAAACCTTATTAAGTGACAGTAAAGTGTTAAAGGGCAGGAAGTGAAGTGAAGAACATGCAGATATTAAAGAGGTGCTAGGGCTTTACAGTATGAGAAGATCTGGAAGGATTGACAGTAAAAATATATTATTATTGGAACTTTGTACCATCTGTAATCCAGAATTAAACTAGATTCTTAACCATGTTTGAGTTTTGCATTTTATAACATTCTTGCAAGTGAGCAAAGCAAAACTAGCCATTCCAACCATGTAATTCAAAATGACATATTTACTATAAGCTGTGTGTACAGTCTACAGCTATCTAGCTTCAGCTTCTTCAGTGATTCAACGTTTTGGAAACAGAGGTTCATAAATGTCTTAATTATGTTTAAAGGTGTCAACATCATTTCACATTTCCTTTCCCTCACGTTGAGGCTTCATTTATTTGAAAGAGAAAAAGTGTCAGGAGGAGGGAGGGGGGGGGGGGTTCTGCTTTTTCTCTGATGCAAATCACATCCCTGTTTCTTGGTATTTGAGAGAAGAATAGGTTGTGTGAACTGCATTAAAGAAGGTAAATGAAGTCAAGATATTACTATTCAATTTTTTTTTTAATTAAAAAGATGGTGACTAACTTTACAGAGTCACTGAGAGATGAAAAGGCAAAGCAGAAATAAATGGTACAGTGTTAAATAAAAAAGGTAACAAAGCGTTGTTTCTGTTAAAGTTACCATTTTGCCAATTCACTCTAACATGGGTGGTCTTGACCCTGTAGCGTTAGTATGTAGCTTAAAGCTTAACATTTAACCTTAGGGGGCCCTAATGCCTAACACCATGTACAGTATCCTTTAAGAACTCTTTCAGACAGGCACTTGAACTCCTTTAAGAGCAGCTCCTTCTAAGAAAACTATTCCTTTCTCCAGAATCAGCCTTCTTAAATAAGAGTCCTTCACTTAAGAATTCAGAATTCTTGCTCCAGAATCGTATTTTAATCTATAATTAATTTACTGGAACATGCAAAGCAAAGACTAGCATTGCATTATTTGAAGTGTTCCTTTTACTGCTCATATCATGCGGGTATTTACATTTCATATCAAACCCTGTTAGAGCTGCAGAGTTGTAAACCACATTTTAAAACAAATGAACCCACTTTGTTCCAGGGAATACTAGAGAGGACCGTCTATTGAACTCCTTGCTGTGCTACCAATAATGGTTTGGGTGTGTATGTGTTTTTTTGTGCGTGTGTATATGCATATATGTGTGATTGATTGTGTTTGTGTTAAGCTGTGTAAAGCTCAGAACAGGCTGGTGGATCTGTGTGATCTAACCAGTAAGAGGCTTAATGTCTGTACTGGGACTGACTGAAGTCTGGGAAGACAGAGACTCGGCTAAAACAGGCACACAAAGATCAGATATGAAGAACTTTTATTACCGGTTACCTTTGTTCTTAAACTGTCAGCTCTAAAACAGCCACTTTTGTTTTCAAACTTCAGCCTGTCTTGTAAAAGACACAAATAAACACACTTAAAGAAGCGAAGGAACACTGAACAATGTGCATTTATAATACAACACACAATGTCTAATGAACCTTTTAAAATGTCTTCATTCATTTACAATTCTGAGCTGGATAATGATAAAAAATGAAAAGGCAGAGAAAAAACACAGTTTGAGAACAAGACAGGGAGAAGAAAGGAAAAAGACAGAAGGTTGTTCACAACTGCTACAGAAAGCATTGACTAATACGGGCTATTAAGCTATAACACCAGATCATAGTCTGGTCCCTCTGGCCATATTATGGTGACATGATGAAGCGCCTGTATTAGCCACGGGAGAGTGCTAGTGATGCAGATAATAGCCACGTCCCTGGAGACCTGCAGAGGGAATTAATGCAGCTGTCTGACACTCACATAGGCATGGATGCAGACACACACACACACACACACACACACACACACACACACACACACACACACACACACTAGGCCTACGTACAAGAACCCACCTTAATGTGTATGTTAATTCTTTTTTCTGCTGACAAGAACTCCTGCCCATTTTCAGGAAGGCATATATATGTACCCCTAACACTATCTAGTCTTTCTGTCTGTTGCTAAAGGAGACAATGAGGTGGAAGGGATGGGGATTATACACACAGACACACACACACACACACACACACACACACACACACACACACACACACACACACACACACACACAGACACACAGACACACACAATTTGACACCATACTCATCCAGAAAGCTCGGGGTGTCAAACTTACAACCCGCCCTCCAAAACCGGCCCAACAGCAGGTTTCATCCGGCTCGTTTGAAGTTTTGGGAAGAAAGAGGACATTTTAGAAACCATTTTTGAGATTTTCACTAGTTAGTTATTTTCAATACATATTTTCACTCGATTGTTTCATAAGCAATGTAAAAAAAAAAAAGAAACACTGAATGCAGGGTTGACAAGAGAGATAGAAGGAGCAGTATTTCTTTGCTCACAGCTCCACTGTGCACTCATCCTGACAGTCTTCACTTCTCCTTACCAGTTTGTTACTGTCTTGACTGATGTGAAACAATGCAATGCTTCCATCCTGGACTGAGCCACACCTTTGTACTTCTTATTGTACTAATATCTGTCTCGCTTCTTTTTTTTTTTTACATTATGATTTAACGTGAATGTTACATAATCACAATACATGATGCTAGCAGTTCTATCTTTTGTTGTATCTCAACTTTGTTGTTTGTTTTTCTGCCTCATTAATCATTTTTTGATCGCTCTTATTACCTCTAGGTTGGGAACCACCTTCCTAATAGCTTCTGTTTAACAGTGAAAAGATGCTACCACATTGGTATATCAGTGCTTTTAATCCAGTGTCACACATAATCAGGCCAACTACTACTATTTTTTTCAAAAGCCTTTATGAAAAAATGCTTTTTGAGTTGAATGCTTACTGTAATAAAAGCTGAGAACTTTGACATGAGTAATGGAAGTGCATCATTTTTAATCCACCACTGTCCAATCCAGCTCTTCTTACCTGTTATCAAAGGTCAGCAATTGTTTCTGTTGTTTTTTCCATTTTTTTTTATTCATCTTCCTTTTCCTGTCTCAGTGGGAGGAGATCGGGGAGGTAGACGAGGACTATGCCCCCATCCACACCTACCAAGTGTGCCGGGTCATGGAGCAGAACCAGAACAACTGGCTCCACACCAACTGGATCCTGACTGAGGGAGCTCAGAGGGTCTTCATCGAGCTTAAGTTCACTCTAAGAGACTGCAACAGCCTCCCTGGCGGCGTGGGGACCTGCAAAGAGACGTTCAATATGTACTACTACGAAACAGACGGCGATGAGGATGAAATGGAGTATGGAGAAATGAGAGATGGAACAGGGATGACCGAAGAGGAGGACCGGGCAATGAAGGAGAGTAGATATATTAAAGTGGACACAATAGCAGCTGACGAGAGCTTTACTGAGCTGGACCTGGGGGATCGTGTGATGAAGCTCAACACTGAAGTCCGGGATTTAGGTCCCTTGATCCGGAAAGGTTTCTACCTGGCGTTTCAGGATCTTGGGGCCTGCATCGCTTTAGTCTCAGTACGTGTTTTCTACAAACGCTGCCCCTTTCTGGTGAAGAGTTTGGCCGAGTTTCCAGACACCATCCCAGGTTCAGAGGCCTCGCAGCTGGTGGAAGTGGTGGGACACTGTGTCAATAACTCCCTGCCTTTATATGAGCCTCCAAGGATGCATTGCAGCACTGAGGGAGAATGGCTGGTGCCTATTGGGAAGTGCGTGTGCCAGCCCGGATTTGAGGAAATTAACGGCTCATGTCAAGGTAAGAGGAGAAAGTAGATGATTGGAATAACGCTTAATCAATATCTTTTGATGAATGCGTGCATATTAGAAAGCTACATTCATTAAGCAAGAAAACCAAATGTATTCTTTATTGTGAGAATTTGCGGATCCTAAATCTAGCGTTCACATTTCGGGGTTTGTGCTTGTGTTTCCCGTCGGTTGCTATCTTCACCCTGTTTGTTTATTTTTATATCCATGCCTGTGTTTGTTTTTAGTATTGTGTGTGTGTGTGCTTGGGTCTGTTTAGTCTTTGAGTGTTTCTGACTGTGTGTGTGTGTGTGTGTGTGTTTCTCCCTTCCTTTAGTGGAGGGTATTCCCCCGAGCCCTGCAGCACTTTGCTGCTCTACAGACTCTGCTCTTCTCTGACTCAAGCCCAAACATTCCCCACCAACATTTGCCGACCTTAACTGCCTTTTCTACAGGCACACAGTCCTCCCCTGTTTTTTTTCGCTCCTTCAATCTTCTCCAATCTTCCCCTGTGCTGTCCTTACATTTCTCAATTTTAAGATTGCACTGTGGAGTCTATCAAAGGGGAAATATGTAACTCTGACACATAGCATTGGAGAGCTGATCCCACTCAGCGTCTACAGCCTGGGCTGTGGGTAAATGGCTATATTGTATAAGTTGAATTATTATGCTAGTTGAGTTTGATTAGTGAAAAGGTTTTTAAGGTTCCAAGTATAAATCTAACTTGAAGATCGACAAGGAAAGAGACATCTTTTTGATACATTCTTTTTGCAAACTTGAGACGTAACTTGGGCTAGATGACTTTTCTGGACATCAGTAAAGCTGCTTAACATGAGAACTATGGCAACGATAACAATTCTTGCCCGGTCACTCTCTCTTTGTCTCTTCTTCGCTTCCTCTGTCACCATCCTCTTCTTCAGCAGTTACATCAAACAATTTGAGAGACAGCCTCTAAATGACCTATTTTCATAACTGAGGGTAGCTGTGTGTCAGCTAGTGCCGTAAAGTCGACAGCACATGCAAGATGACCTGGGCCCGCTGCCAAAGTTACATATACTGCAGTAAACATCGTTCAGGCTGTGCTGTGCAGACGGGAGAGAAACCATTCTCCCTGTTGACAGTTATTGTGCTATTAAACCGACCTTTGAAACTACTGTTTTAAATTGGAAAAGTTACTTATTGTTGCTTTAAATGGTACATGCAGTGATATCTTTTTTTTCTAATTTACTCATGTTTATGAGTGACTGTGAAATTGCGGTAATAACCTGGATTTATGTTAACCCTATGAATAGCATGAAATATTCCTCCCCTCTGCAGCTTCAGCTTTCCCAAAAACAATTACCGTAGTTTAGTTCTTTTAAATCTCGGATACAAACACAACAACATTTTGAGATCTTTAGTGCATACATTGGACTATGTTTGAGTGTAAGAGGAGGAGAAAAAAGGTTTTGGTTTCTTTCTTACATTATTTTCAATTAGTATACCTTGGAGACATGAATCATTAAATCCTGGCCTTTAAGAAACAAGATGTCATTGTTTCTTTATAATGAAATTGTTAAACGTATAATCTTTGTAACAAACTGTGCATTAACTCAAGGTTAACCTTGTCAAGGATTAAGTCTCTGTGGGGAGATCATTAAGAAGTAGCTGTCAGTATGCCACTGGCCTGCCTGGAGTCGTACTGCCACAGACTGTAGAGTCACACTGCGTTTGATCTGTTGCTGACAGTACAGGATGTTATTACTGCCAGAATGATTTTTTTTAGCCCTGTGTGTTAACTGTACACCTGTACTGTGTAACAACAGGTTATCCTGCAGAGTTTAAAAGGACAAACTGCATTGTATTGCTTTATTATGGAAGGTGTTGAGCACTATAGATAGGATCACTGCATGAGAATCGTGTTCGAAACAGATGTGTAAAAATAACCATGTGTTAAGAATTTCACCATACATACAATGGTTTTATAAAAAGTAATGTCATCATGTATTCATGTTTTTGGAGTAAAGAAACATGGTTTCCTGGATTCCTGCATCTTCATGCATGAATGTGCAGATCCCTCTTAGTTTAATTGTTCCTCAGTTGGTATCAAGCTATTGCTATTAAGAAACATAAAACTGAGTTTATACTCTCTTATTGAATATGTCAAGGCTAAACCCTTTCATTCTTTACAAAAAAGGGTGTGAGTTAAACAGTGCTGATAAAAATCTTTCCCAGCCCCCATGTCTTGCATTATGCTGACAGTAAGCCTTTAGGCATGTTTTTACTGTCCTTTTCCAAACAAACAAAATTTTAAGGTTAAAGAAGGTTGAACACATTTTCATTTTAATGAGTTTCTGTGTGTTTTGCTTTCCAGGAAGATGTGTTTGTTTGATATGCAAATCTTTTTCATGTGGTTAAATGTTGTAGAATAAAAAAAATAACCAGTGCTCATGGGAAAAACATTTTTTAATCATAGCCCATATGCGAAATGAAGTGGAAAAAAAAAATAACTGTAAGCTGTCAGAGTAAACACATTCCCTGCAATTATATGAAACTAAGAAAGTAAATCAGTTTTAGCTTCAATGACTATCAGATTGAAATGAGCCTTTTGAAACTGTCTACAGAGGAAAACATGGCAGGGTGTCCTCTATTTCAGCTTAGTAAAGCACATGTTTTAGCTGCTTTGGAGAACTCTTTTTCATGTGCATTTCAGTCACTTATTTCTGAGAAGTGTTAGATCCTGAGAGCCTGGGATCCATACTGTGAGCGGTTATGTATTAAGTCTCTTTCCTTTTTCGGGGGGGTGGTCTTTTCTGATCTGGAAGTTCTGAACACCTGCTGATTTGGTTATGAGAAACTCCACTCAGTGTAGTTACTTAATTTCAACTCTTTGTGCCTATTTTTCCCACTCAGTGAATGTCAGTGTGCTAAAAACTGTAGAGCTTGGGGGGGAAAAAAACATGCAGCATTCTTAATGCACCAACTTAAAAGGCTCAAATGAAATTGGGTTATTGAGCATCCTATTCATATAGACTGTGAATAAGTGGGTTGCAGGTACAATGTGTGTGTGACAGAGAAATGTTTTAATGTGTGTTGGTTGCTGGCTGTAGTGCTGCCTAGTCGAGCATGATTTAACACAGCCTCTGTGAATGTAGGACAGAACTTCTTATCACTTTTTCTTGCTTTTACTGTCCAATAATGACTGCTGTCCCATCCATTCCTCTTTCAGTTTCATATGGTCTTCACAGTTCCACAATTCTCTTCTTCTGTGTTAAAATATGAAGATACATTTATGTTTTTTTTATCTCAATATAAGACTTTAAGTCCCCTCTCTCCAGGTTTTCTAAATCTCTAGAAAAAGCACGACTTTGTCAGAAGTAGAGTCGTTTTTCTATTTTGCCTAGAGTTCTTCTGTCCTTTAGACAGGGCTGCACTACCAGAGGTTATATAGTGTCCGATAACATCTAAATAAAATGGATATTGTTGTGTAAGATGTATAGATGTAGTAGGCTCTATACTTTAGCGAGGATAATTGGTAGAAGCCCGCAGCACTGTCACCTCGGCAAGACAGAAAAGACAGAATAGTCGAGGATGGGGAGTAAAGCACTGGGTAGATGGATGGATGGAAGGATGTGTGTGGGGGGGGGATAACAGTGAGACATGGTGGCAAATCAAGGGGACAAAGATAAATTAGAGGATTTCTCCCCACAGGGTGTGAGGTCAGAGAGACAGAGATGGATGGGTGTTGTTTCAGTGGTGATAGCGACAGATGAAGGATAACTGAGGAGGGAAGTAGGCAGATGGATGAAGAGACAGAATTCAGAGGTGGGGCACTGTAGATTGAGTGTGGCCTCAAAAAAGTACTTTACTTGAATGATGACTGAAAAGGCTGTAAGGAAAATGACTTCATACAATATAGGAATGATCGTTTTATTGAATGTGGATTCATGGAACTAAAGTTAGTCAGATCACTTATAGGTTTACATCAATCAAGCCATAACTTAACTGAGCAGTTAATTTAGACACGTGTACTGTGTAGTCAGTATTAAACCTTCTGCTGGATTTGTTGCATCCATCAGATCATCAGTTGTAAAAGATAAGAACAGCAATAATACAACAAACTTTAATTTTATATCAACATATAACCATACTTTTTTATAATATATATAATCTGAAAATGTTATATTCATATCACAATTTACCTTTAACTTTTTAACTTGTTTACTTCATTTTTTTAATAAAATGATATCAATATTATAAATGTTAAAAAAAAAAAAAGTAAATCTGAGAAAGACAGACAACAAAGCTTTGAATGATGGAATTTTAGAGCTAAATATAGAGTTGAAATGATATACCCAGGGTTGATTGTGAGCGGGTTGCTTTCATGATGTAATAATTAGGTTACATTTTTATTTCATGATAGTGAAAAAGCCAAACTACCTCCCAGAATAATGGATTCACTTTTCGGGATTCCTTGCTGAATATTGGAATATGAAATGTCTAACTTTAAACTTTGAAAAAAGGGAATAAGGGCTTTCGAAAATATTGCAATAATGGGATTGAAGCTGAATGCCACATTGGTAAGAATAATGAAATGCTGAATAGATCCTGGGAATGACAGTTGTGTAAAGATGGGCACTTTTGTGGGGGTTGGGTGGTAGGGGTATGCAGAAAAGAGGAAAAACTATGATAGTCGAGGAATTGAAATGAAAATTAGCACAACTGCATCACCAATTAAAATAAATTGGTCAGGTTGTTCTCGCAATACCTTTTTTCTAAAGAGTGCCTTCTAAGTGTGTCATAGGAGGAGCTGGATTTCCCTCGACGATACTTTGTTTCGGTGCCAGGTTTCCCTGGATATTCCTCCTCTATGTTTGCCTGCCTGTCAGATGTCACTGCAGCATATGTCAAACTCAATTTGGTCATGGCGGTGGTGCTTTCATCAGAACCTGTCTCACTGATGTAGTTATGTGAGGGAGCTCTCTGTCTGCCTTCTCGAGGGAATTATGAAAGGGGAGAAAAAGTGAATCACAC